AAGTGAGATAAATGTTACCGAGGGGGCATGTGCTTTTCTGATCTCATTTCATCAGAAGTATTAAGAGCTTACGAAAACAAGCCATGCATTCCAAATCCTTTTATCATTTTAGTCCAAGAAACTACATTCATTTCAGTCATCCATGCTGAAGATTCTGTGAGCTGTTTGAACACATCCACATTTAGCATAAATGTCTGTAAGAGAAGTATAATTCACCACATCCAAATCAACCCTGTTTCTAGTCACGAAACCATGCACACTCTTCCCTGCTTCAAAGACCCCACGCCTGATCAAGCAAGAAGAAGGATGATAGACCAACGGATATTGGGAGCGACTGACTTTTCAGCATCTATCTGAACAGGGAAACAACTTCGAAAAATATCCTATTTTAGCATGACCATCGATGACAGCACACCGTAGCACCACATGCTTATCATTAGCTTCTTCAAACACCGTAAGTGCATACTGAACATGCACGAACCAAACCCACCATTCTATAACTCAAGTTAAAGCAAAACTCAATATAACATTTTGGGTTCTCGAGAAAACTTCAAATACCCTTTTATCATCAAACCTCAAATAACAACTTCTGTGAGAAAATTGTTCAAATAACTTGTGGGCAGCGTTCAGATAATCCACGTCGGTGTACATCTCTAGAAGCCCAGGCACGATGAATAGACCTCCATCAAAGCCGGATTTAATGTCCAAATAGTGAAACGATAATCTCCCATTGCAAGAACAACAATCGACAATTCGCTTTAATCGCAAATTCCAAGTATCGCGCCCATTGCACTAGCCCCACATCCAACAAAAAAGATGTAAAACATCATCATAAACTTAGAACTTGAAGTAGCGGGGGATGAGGGTATTCCAGGAATAAATTTTACTGGCAGTGATTCGAGGAAAAGCTTTCGATGCTAACAGAAAAGAGCACGATTCGGCCTAAGCAGGGGTGATGTTGAAACCGTAGACGACCTCTTTGTGAAACCCACTGATAATGATGTATGCATGGAGTTGGTGCACGAGAGGGTTTTCGCATAGCAGAAAACGGAGAGAAGGATTTTGGCAGGGTTTTGAGAAGCAATTTTTTTTTTTTGGGGGGGGGGTTTGTGGTGGCATGTTATTCTGTAAGGGAACAAGAACAACCATCATTGAGAAACTTACAGAGGAATTTGAAAACAATGACCTGTCACTCGCATACGTGGAGTGGAGATCAATTGTAGGCGATACTCACCAAATCATCAGACGTGTTCTGTAATCTGTACTCACACAGAACATGCTAAATGAAGTATTCTGCTGAATGAAAACAGATTCGTTTTAACTTTGAACATCACTCAAATGCCTCACACTGTACCTGGAATAGCTATAAATAACAAATTTTATAATTTATTACCACGGATATTGATTAAAAGAGGAAAAGCCAAACTCGAAAGAAAATTAAAATTATAAAAAGGAATTAAATGAGTTTTTATGATATGAATGGCATGTGGGAAGGATGCCGTGCATCTGATAGAAATAAAGTTTGAAATAATTAAGAAAATACAATAATGCCGCAATTAGAAAGTTCCTACACAAAATAACCCTCCCCCTTCATTGAAATCAGAATGGCCACTCACAACTGGGCAGTCACAAAAACAAAAAACTTGCGAAACTGCGCGGTTAAATGAAATCCCTCTCACCCTCAAGTCCGCATAAATGACTGAAACCTAAAGGCCCCATTTAATATGCAGCACTAGAGAATTAGGATTGGGTTAGAATAATATCATCTTTGACATGTGTGGTATGTAGCACTTACATATGTGGGAATGCTCAAACCCACCTCTCCCTAGTGTTGTAAAATTATTTTTGGGATTAAAATTTTCATGACCAAAATGCCTTCCTAAAGAATACCCACATCTAACTCAGTCTTTTCCCTTCTCATTTACTTAGTACGTTCACTTTGGGCTTGCTTGGCAACTTCCTTGCCAACAATGACTCCCCCCTTTGTCGGCAATGACTTCCTCCCTTGCGGGGACAACTTCAATAGAAGCAATAGCAAAGACCTTGATGCAAGCAAGAACAAAAGCGGAGATGGCGAGATCAAAATTGAAATTAGATTTTCTTGTTCCAAATTCTATTCTTTGTGTTTTTGATGTCTCCATTTTCAGTGAGGGTCATGATGCATTTCTTCTCGAAGGCTTCATCATTTCCATTGATCCCTACTACCGTCGCACCTGCTCATCTTCTCGCCTTCAAATCTCCTTCCATTTGAGATTGTTAATGGTGCCTAGATTTGGTTCCTTCAGTTTGACGGCATTCTAAATCTAGATTTGAGTTTGAGTTTGAGATATGATTTTTCAGATATAATATTAATTTAAGGTTGAGTTTTCTCTAGATCTCACATATCAAAGTTTTTGGTTAATGGAGAGGCCATTATAGTATGTTAATTTTTGATTAAATATAAAATAAAATTAATGTAAGTATCCTATTCAAATATTATTTCATGCCAAACATATTTTTAAAGACTCAATTTTAATCCTAACTTTAGCCCCAATATCAATCTCTTAAAACTCATGTACCAAATAGGGTCAAAATGTTCGGTGCCCCTGGGAGGAAGTGGGGGACAGGACATATTTATAAAATACCCTTCTTTGGCTCGTCTATAAGGTTGCACATGTGCTGTCTCAGTTACTTTAATATGCCCAAGACCAAAATGAAATTTCAATATAATTTGATTTCTTAAACTAACCGCACAAATGGTTGGGCTCTCGTTTGTTTTCTCGCGTCTCGTTGTGCGGCGCCTGAAAGTTGACCTCCATCGCGAATGCGGGTACCCTTTCATCATATCGTAGGTTATGATGAAAAGGATAAAAAACTGAGTAATCCATGCACCAGCCGGGAATCGAACCCGGGTCTGTACCGTGGCAGGGTACTATTCTACCACTAGACCACTGGTGCTGCAATGATCGTTGCATTAGACAAACTATATATAACATTTAATACAAGTAATCAGTTCAACCATCTAGCCAGTCCCCTAACTCAGTTCTGATGATTACCGTTGTTTTTGGCAGTTCATGTGCTTTTCCCATGACTCGTGATATCGTTCTGCTCCTAAATTTTTTCCCATTTCCTTCCTCACAAAAGGAAGGAAAATAATTTAAGTACAAAAGGGGCTGGCAAGTTGTCTATATGGAGAATATTAATACATATAAAGCAAAAGCCCCAACAAAAGTCTGAAATATAAAAGAAGCATAACCAAGCCAATCCATCGTTATGTCACGTTATGCAATATTATTTCGTGCGTTGAGGACTAAGGCAAGCAGAAGCTCCGTCCATAGCCTGCTCAATTTCTTCTATAATATGTAGAGGGTGAGCCATCCACGTCTTCCCTTTTCACTCTTCAATATTTAGTCTTCGTTTTTTTTTTAATATATGTGCCATGCTTATATATCCATTATTTTGTTTGAACATCTCATATTGTATACTACTCCCTTCATTCAAAAATATAAGATATTTTTTGAGAACTTAAATGTTAAAAAATATAAGGTATTTTTAGTCTTTTGAGATATAATCATTACTTTTTTTTAAAAAAAGTGTCTTATTGATAATAACTTTATATTTATTGTAAGGTATTTAATAGGAATAGATAGGGTTAATTAAAAAGTAAGTAACTACTTTATTGAGGGGTAAGATTCGGTTAAAATATCTTATATTTTTAAATGAAGGGAATAACATACAGGCTACATCTTAAGTATCTTTATAATTAATAAGGGTACATATCTTTTATATCACAGAGAGAAACACCTATATATACATATATATATAGAGAGAGAGAGAGAGAGAGATAACAAAATACCTGCGTAATTTGTCTGAGCCTAATATACATGTTAAATTTGACAAGAAAGAAGAAAGGGTGGAAATTAGCCTGTTTTAAAATGGGTAATAACACACGCAACCAAGTATTAATAATCGTCTGTAGACAGTATTTTGATGGAAGACAAGCTATACAGAGATCAAGGGAAGAAAGATGTTACTATGGCGATTTTGAAACCTACATGCATTTATTGAATAAATAATTCTATATCTAAAACCCAAAGAGCAAATTCCCACGACGCGCGCTAGGATCATTCATCAATCTCCATGCAGCTTATATTATATATCTCGGATATGTCATTACAGGCTGCTTCACTTCCTATTTAAGGCATTTTAGAGTTCTCGGAGATGTCGAAAACAATGGGAAAAGCCTATCTCATCAACCTATGTGATTGTAGAGAACATAAGCATAGAATTAAGCTTGTTTCAAAATCTTCAATTCGTTTCGCATGCACAGATAGCTCCCCGGCCGTGAAAAGCGATAACATGCATTGTTTTTCTGAGTACTGGATGCTATGCTGCGAGCTATAAAATGCTCATGATCCAACCATATCTGAACAGTCACATTCTAAGTAGACGCACATTCAACTAGCACCTGCACCCATGTCTAAACCTCCAATGTGTATGTAACAGAACAAAATTTAATCTTCTGTTTGCAATTGACGGAAAGGCATAATTGCTACCCTAGTCTACTAATCACTCACGGTGCACTCTCTCCCTAATCAATACTTATTATATCGTAATTGTAATCTTATAGCAATTCATGTATATTGGTTTCTGCAGATACATTCTTCTAATCTGCAGGCAAGGCAGTCCTAAAGAAGAGTGATGTTGCAATAGTGACACAAAAAAATATATCAAGTATATAACCAAATTTTTATCGGCAGAAGGCATGAAGCTACGTACAAAATGAGTTGCAAAGAAGAAACAGTGAGTACCTTCATCCGATCCTGGAATCTAGATATCGTATAACCTCATCTTCCTTACTTGCAGAGAAGCCCCAGCAGTAGATACATTATTTTACCTTCCGCTTCCACCAACTTCCAAACCATCTGTATCCAATTCTATGCTATATGTATGTGCACGTGTGTGTGTGTGTGTGTGTGTGTAGGAAATAAGAACAATACTAAAGGCAGACATGCTCAGGATGATCATGAATATATATATAAGGTTGAGTCGGCACTCTTTTTGATCCAGAAATGAAACAAGGGTCTGACAAATTCCGAGCTGTACTAAGGACAATACAGAGGGACATGTATAGGTAAGCTCTTGAATATACAATATATAAAAAAACAGTGGATAGAGCTGCTGCTATGGCTGATAACCCAGTCGAAGCTCCAAATCCAGCCCATCGTCTGGTATATTGTCTTGTACCTTGTCACGCACTGCGCACAAGCTCGAGCTTCGGGCCCTCCAACCAGGTCCAAACACGTCCCGATCTCCAAACTGTACATGCGAAGACGATCTGATTGTACCGGGATGATAAAATTGAGGGCAATTACTATCTACCTCAGGAGTGGTTGTTAAATAGTAATTTCCAGGATGTGCAGAATAGAAGCTGAGATCCACAAGTTTGCTTGAAGATGAAGGACCAAGACTGGGCTTGGTTTTGGCTCTATCCTTCCTGTGTATATTCATGTGTCCTCCCAGAGCTTGTGCGGTAGTGAAGCCTCTCTTGCAAAACACGCACTCGTAGGATCTGCCAATCCCCGTCGTATCATCGGTTTCTTCGCTGGAGCTCCTGGACTCTTCTGTGTTTCTGAATTCCATGAGAGTGAATTTTGATGCGGAAATGGAGAGAGGATCAGAGGGTATTATAGAAGCAGAAGGACCGAGGAAGAGACAGGTGAAGCACATAGGCGATACCTAAGGAGAGTCAAGAGCGAAAGAAGAAAATTTCACAAGTTTGCTCCCAGTGGTATTCTGGGATGAGCCGGCTGTTCTCACTCGCAAATAATTTTATATGCCTATTCTTTATCGTGATTTGTCTCCCGTTTGGGATCTTGTGTTTTTCTTTCCTTTATCCTTTCTTAATCTCCACTCTCTCTCTATCCTCTCTTCCTTGTCACTTACGCTCTTCGTGGATATTCTCTCTTTTCAAACAGGTTTTGCGTACGTCATTAATTAACACCATCTGTACGCGGTAATAAATTCTTTTTTTTAATCGTAATAAATATTCTATTTTAAGAATACGATAAATAAATGTGAAAAAGAAATTTGAAGGATATTCATTCGACTTTAGAAACCAGACTATATCCTCATAGAGTTAACATTATATTCCACGTTAGTGGAATCAAATTGGGAATGAATCGTCTAAATTTTGAAATTGAAAATCCGTAAATTTCATGATTTCAAGAGGGGAGAGAAGGTTTTATGTATTATAAAAAAATAAAATAAGAAAATAAAAAAAAGTTCACTGAAATTCATAAATAACAAAATTTTTATTATGCAAGTATTATCCTATTCAAAACACAGTATAGGCATATAATTTCCACCAATAAAATCTTCTGACAATTGCATAAGTGGGAAACACTTTGTTTTTCTGGTTAAAACAAAAAACAAAAAACAAAAAGAAAACGCTTCGTTTTGGTACATGATGCATTTTTTTTTTTACACAATTTTAAATTGAAACTGGAGACGAAGCATAAATTTGTTTCTTTTTTCCTTTTTTAAGAATGATTTTTCTCTAAACCTCTGCCCATGCCCACACCTCACTTTTATTATTTCAACTAGAGTGGACGATATGGAAATTAATTCAAACATGTTTAAATTTAAAAAAGAAAAAAAAAACTTTTGTCCGATCCGCCGGATAATCCATCAACCCACTAGATCAGAGTTAGATTATAACAATGCATTTCTACTTAACTATTTAATCAGGATATTTGTCAGCTAACATCATTCTTTGACTAATGTTATTTTGGTTCTCTAATTAATTCGTTTTGAATTTTAGATAACATTTATAAGTGGTTTGGTTGGGAACATAAACTACCAGAATTTGGAATTCTTTGTTAGGAATGTTCCATAATTTACGGTGAAGCCATATGGTAATAAATATAATTACCATATTATAATCAAGACGCCCCCTGATTTTCAATCTAGCACATGTAGCCATTAAAGAGTTACAGCCCTGACCAGCTGCAAAAGGATTAAAATTAAGCAAATAAAGTCCCCCTCAGGAATATAATCAGAAAAATTAGTCTTCGGCAAATGACAGTCTGTACATGTGAATTAACCAAAGTGTTCTGCACAATCATGAGTTCCAATTAAATTCCCTGCCTCTTGAGGGTCTTGCCTGAGCACATACTACATATATATACTAATTAACAAAAACCAATCAAATACACAGTCAAAAAGGTAGCCACGTAGATTTTGCCTAGGCATGACGCATGCATCTTATATTCACGATCAGACTCTCGACCCACCGAGGCGACTATTTACGTATCAGTTTTTCTATGAAGCTGAGATGACTCGGATCGGAAACTACAGAAATTGTAAGGTAGCATAGGAAACACAGAGGAACCTTCGTGCAGAGGAACATGTGAAGTGAGTGAACAAGAATATGCCATTTGTAGTTTGCGCTTGTCTTTATGTTACAACTTCGATCTTTTGATCTCAAAATTAGATAGTGGCAACACATCACTACATCTTTATGTCATCCGTCACCAGCAACAACCATCATCATTCAACAAAAATACCACTAATTCCACTTTTATTAATGCTTGGCTACATTCTTTTGGCTTGCATAATTGATTAGGTAACAACCTGCTCTCGTACGTTAATTAATAACAAACAGGGGCATATATATATATATATATATATGTATAGCCATTGGAATTCTCTGGGTAGCTTGTTTAAATTATATTTCCAACTTTTTGCTGCCTTGTGTTTACACACACACACACACACTTACACATGTGGTGTCATTCTTTCAGTAGATTTGCTCTTGGCCTTTAGTTTTCTGTGTCATTTACATCGTACTCTCTCTTCGCTTTAGTATCTTGTCATTCAGCTCCAGGGATTAATGCCTTAAGAGTGAGATACTCATGAGTATATACACCGCAACAAACCAAAACCAAAATCAACTGATGAGGGTTTTGCTCCTTCCTTCTTTTATTGTTTTCCCGTTGCCAGTAGAGAGAGAGAGAGAAGTCCTTTCTTGTCAAGTAAAAGCGACAGGTTTGATATGTTGGCAAGCCAATTATTTAGAAACATTACCATTAGTTCACATCCTTCATATAAGTAATAGTGAGAAAACAAATCGAGTTGATTGTAACTTGCCGCTGCTTCCACGTTATTCCATAATTATTTTCCAAATCCCAACACAAAATTGACGTGTTCCTAAATTCTTCATGCATGCAACAATTTTTAATCACTCAATAGTTATCTGGGTGTTAATATCAAAGAAAACAGTATTCTCCAGCAAGTTTCAAATCAAGTTCCACAGATAAATAGTGATGCACTCACCTTTTCCACACGCTTTCCTTGACGAGTAAACGAAGTTTCAATTTTTTAGGTTCTTAATGTTTGAAGTCGTCGTTAGAAACGGCTAATTTTCTAATGGGAATGTGGGGACGAGAGAACAAAGAAAGTCTAAAACAGACGGTCAAATGATGGTAAAAAAAATGCATGGTACCAACGGCTCTTGAATCAGCCATCTATATAATAAAAGGGAAATATAACATGACATTTTAACGAAGAAGTCTAAAATTTTTATTTGAATCAACATTTCATTTGGCCCATTCCAATTGCATGGGCCTCCAGCTACTCTTTTTTCATTTTGTTTTACCTACCTATTTATATTTTCTTTTTGAAAATTGAATAATAATAATAATAATAATAACAAGCCTTATCCTAATCTTTTTGAAAATTGAATAATAATAATAATAATAACAAGCCTTATCCTACTAAATAGGATTGACTACATAAATTACATAATATTAATGTGCATTATTATTGTTATTCAATTTTTGAAAATTGAATGTATGACGTTTTCTTTTTGGCCCCATTTTTAGAAGAGTAGGAAGGGAGATAGGGAAAATGAGGTGAGCCGATCAGGTGACTTTAACCCATGCCTTCTACTTTCACTAAAACTGCACTTTAGCAGTTGGCTTTGTGTTTGACACCTTTACGTCCCTCTTCTTCCTCCACCTTCGTTTCATCCCTTCAGTGACATCATTACTCTATACTATGCATTAGATGTTCAGTTTTCATTGCAAATCCCCCTAATCAATTCTGATCTCTGAGTACTGACTTTTACAGATCAATCAAAAGGAGAGAGAAGCAAACATTAGCCTGTTTTGGTGGGTACTGCCACATGCCCTGGGTTTCTTGTTTTGGAAAGGGCATCATGGTATACAAGCCACCCATCACAGCAGTGCATTGGGAATATGGAAACACATCTAATGTTGGGAAACACAAAGGCCTCCCTCTCACTGTTGCACTTAAACTCACTCATTCCCAGACTCCTACTTTCAATTATGACATAGGACAAAGCATATATAAAAGCAATTGAGGTTGCTTTATTTATTCCTACAAAAGCTACAGTAAGTAGCAGATTCAACATGTCTCTCTGACCCTTTCTTTCTCTGTTCTCCCTTTCTTCTGTGCTTACCAGAAATTTTTAATCTGAGAATTATGCCATCAATTTCACAACATGTTGAATGTCCCTCCTGACATATATCTTCTCTGCCTCTTCCCTTTCGTTCTATATTTTGCTTATGTAATCCCACAATTATGTTCCCTTCTGGTTCCTATGCTTTTCAGTCATCTCATGCTTTCAGTAGCTACTGCTTTATATGCGCCCGCGCGTGCGCATGTATAAATCTTAACAGAAAATTAGTTAATAATGATCCACAACTAGTATCTATTATTGAAAAATTAAATTAAAAAACGAAGATATACAATGCCCTCCTGTGCTGATTACATTTACCCTTACAAATTGCTTATTATGCCAAATCAAAGAAAAGAAAGAAGCACCTACAAGGTAGTTTGAAATTCATAACGGTTAAGCTACGAGACATGCACCCATGGCCGGCATCCAAATTTATTTTACAATCCATTATGAATTTCACACTTTTAGTGAATTTAGAACTTACAAACGGGTTATTGAACATCAAGCCTAACGAGCATTTATTAATTTTCAGTGAATTAACAAGACAATGAATATTGATCCTTGTTCATTAAATACACACATGCTCATTAATATAGATCCGCATTTGGATGCTTGTATATGAGTTCCACGTTCCAAATCATTTTCAGTGTATTGACTATGGAAACTAAAAGTATAAAATGGCAGGTTACTGTAACCTGGAGCGTACATAATATATATACTATAAATATATAAGCATTCTACTATTCTAGTCGTTAATCCGCTCTCTAAAGACGAAGTTATGATTTTCTTGCACATCCTGTTTTATATAAATGATTTGATTGCATAAGTGTTTCTGAATCAGCGTGGTTGTGTGTTTCCAAGAAAATAAGCATGGCAGAAGCTAACATCAGAAAACTAAAATTAAAGGATGCATGCACCCAAGAAAACGGACTGATAGATTTAATGAGTATTGTTCATCTGAAATACGATGTTTCAGCGCAGACTAGAGAGAGAATGAGCATAACGAAGTAGTATTCGGAACTCCTATTTTGGTCAAAAAAAATAAAAATAAAAACCCTTAACTCTGGATCATTCGCAGCCAAACGTTTAAGGAGCAGATCGACATAAAATTATACGTTTTACAGCCAATAGAGACAATAGGAAAGAATATTGAGTTGGAACCCATAATTTTCTTCTACTTCTTTTTGTACTTCATGGCTTTGTGTATAATAATTCGCCATCACTCCGAGTAAACTTGTTTTTCTACGCTCATTGGATCTAAAATCTAATGGCTAGAATCGAGGAACAGTAACAGTGATGAATATTCCAATCACATCCCCAACAGCATAGAAGAGCTTAAAATCGTCTGAACTAAAGTTCTTGGGATGCTCATATATATAATATATAATATAATTAAAAACAAAGTTGCTAGCTTGAAGGGAATTACTAAAGTGGTGCAAGAAGCTAAATAATTTTGAAGCGCAGTGCTGGCCCTTGTTTGAATCCCACAATACCCAGCTACCTAGAAATGGCCGAGTCGAAGCTCCAAATCTATTTGCTCCTTTGGGTGTTGAACCAACCCTAAACCCAGCTCCAACGTGATATTATCATCGTCATCCTCCTTGATGTTCTCGAAACCCTTAAGCCCTTTCTCTTTTGCACAGTCCTTCAATTCCTCGTCAACCCCAAAACTACTCCTCGTGATCTCACCACTCACGATAATTTCTCTTCTTTGAGGGCTCAAAAGAGGGAGCTTGGAAGATGTGCCGAGCATGGGTGGCTTCTTATCATCACTTGCAGAAGCAAAGGAGGGCGAAGAAGACGACAAAGCGGGAGAAGGGGCATGGTGGATTTCAGAGCGATGTGAGCAAACGTGATCGAAAAGCTCATGAGAAGATAAGGCAGTATGGTTAGAAGGTGGCCTAGAGGTTATAGGGTTAGATTTAAGAGATTCGGAATTAAGCCATAAGGGAGGTATTATGCCCGATCTCAATCTAGCCCTATCTCTCCTGTGCACGTTCATATGACCTCCCAAAGCTTGAGCTGATCTGAACTCTCTCTTGCAGAAGCTACATGAGTAATTTCTCGCTGGCCATGAGCTTGCCCACGAATGCTCCTCGTAGCTCAAGTTTTCCTCTCCATGCTTGCGATCTCTTCTCACATAATTGCCTTCCATCAAGCTTTAAACTTTTTACCTGTGCAGAAGAGAACCTTTATATACAGTTCATTAAAAATAAAAATACCTGATGACTTGCTCCCTAAAGAAGAAAAGAGGATGAAAGAATAGAACGTACGGATCTCCTCACAGAACAACGATTCAGATGATCAGTGTTGAGAGTTGAGGAGGGAGGTGGGGATAGAAAGAGAAGAAGAGGTTATACTTAGAAAGGGCTCTCATTGAAGCTGGGGTTCATATTTTCTGTGGCCGAAAAGTGAAGGTCTCAGAAGGCGTACTTCATCTGTCACTGACTCTGCGGCGACACTGTTTGGATATAGCTTAGCAAATATAATGGAGAAACTGAGTCATAGATAGTGGATTTCCTTTTAGCCTGATCCTGGAAATCCCTTCCACAGATAATGCTTATAGCTATACTAATACTTACACTCAAGCTAAGTCACTTTTGACAGAATGTTTTACTTCTAAAGAACAAGATGAATTCTTTTTCTTAGATGTAAAATAAAATGGATTTGATTAGTTGAGTATGATTTTTTCCATGAATATAATCCTCAAACATTTGCTGAAAAAGGGTTGTATTGTAGTACCGTATATATACTGGCAGGTGTAGAAGAAATTCTTCAATTCGTATTGTACAATATGAGTCATATGAAGCACCCACCTTTGAAGTCCAAAATTTGTTCTAAGGATAATTAATTCGTATGGCTCGTTCTAGATAAATGAGTTTGTTTTCGGCCAGTGCTACAGTTAAATTTGATATATTTCAACGCTTGGCAATTAACCTTTCAATGCTTTGATCATGTGCGCATATTGATGCTTTGAAAATAATCCCATCCTTGTGCGTTGAAAATAATCTGTACACATATAGCTACTAATCACAAAAAAGAGTGGATTTTTTTTTTAAACCGTCCAACGAAGAGTATTTGAGACTTAACATTGAAATATTATTAATTACAATAGTTATTCTTAATCTTACCTTGTCAAAATCTATCTTGAATTTGTATTCGTTCATGCGTAAAACTTGATTATTCTACCATCACTCGGTTGATTAACTCGACAACTTTTTAAGTAGAATTGTAGAGTATCCAATGAAAGGCATGTTAGGGGAATCGTCATATATGTCAACAGCAAGGGAATGAGGAGTATCAATCTATGTAGTTGCATGAGAGAGAAATGGAGAGGACAAAAAAATCAAAATGTTTGTGCATGAATGGAATAGATCTCATGGCACTTGCACCATTTTCTGGTATCGTCATCTCTCACAATATTACAACGTTATTGAAGAAAATTCAAATTAGAAGAGAAATAATTTCTTAGAAGATTTCCAAAGAAAAAGTGTCAAGATGTCTAGCTAGGATTGACAAAAATTCATTTAATCCAATTAGGACAACACAAATCTTTAATTGAGAATATCATTCAGTGACTCTTGAATAAATTTAATATCCGACAAGAACTTTTAATAAGTAAACATTAACAAGTAAAGTTTAAATTTTAATAACGTCCAAGTCCTTGTTATATATTAAATTCTTTCAAAAATTCTCTGTTGATATTCTCTTTAAATCTTTTCACAGCATTGAAATACCAAGCTCCATGTACTAATTGGGTGATTCTTACAAAACAACACTATATATGGATTGGACAAATTTGTTTCATTAATTACTTAACATCCTGAAAGAGTACTCACATACTCGGTTGAATTTTCGTCTACTGGAAAAATAGCGCACGGTCCATTACAAAAACAAGACAAATAGTGCCCGGAAATTTTGACAAGCTACTTGATGAGTAAAATTAAGATGTATTATTATTTTTAATACAACTATTTAATATCTAAAATTATTAAGTCAAATTTAAGTATTGTAAGGATCAGCTTTTTCAAATATTTTTTTTTTTTTTACGTTCACACCAAGTCTTCATGTTGAAGCAATTATATTTGCAATCTAAATCACTCTATTCTCTATTAACTAACCACAAATACTTGCAATATAAATCACTTAAACGCATTAGGCTTTTCATGATGAAGTGATGGAGGCCGGTCAACGATCCTTTGAAACTAATAGCTCCGAATGATTTAAATTTTTATCATTATAATTATATTTTTCCATGTTAAAGTCATTTCTTCTAAAAAAATAAATCATCTTTTGATGTAATTATCTAATATTATTATATCACATTCGAGTATTATCGAAACCAAGCAACTCTCGCGAAGATGTTTTCATCTAATTATGCAATATTTCACTATTTTGGATTCAAAGTTTATAAGATTTTTTTCCTAAATGCAAAAGGATGATTGAATAAGGATTGTTTGATTTCTGATGTTTAAAAATTACTTTCTGTTTTTAAAAATAAAAAGAAATTCATTTGAGTAAGTGTCTTAAATTTAAATGCTTTTGGAACTGTTCTCAGTTTTTATTTTTGAAAACAAAAAATGAAACCAATTTAAAATTATATTAAATTTTATTTTTAAGGTACACTATATTTAATTATTATAAATTACCTTTAACCATGTCAAGTTATCATTATAAATCATTATCATTAACTACTGATAACTACCACCGTTGGCCCTTTTTTAACTTAAATTGTTTTTAAATTAACATAATTAAACAGGTTTTTATTTTGTTTTGTTTTAAAAAATAATTTTAAAAATTACTTACGAAATAGTATTTAAAAATAAAAAATAGAACAAAACCAAAAATCCTAAATCTCTGCCATTTTTTTTCATGTCTGAGGCCAAGGCCAAACTTCAATTTTTTTTTTTTTTTTTTTGCCATGATCACACACACAGTAGTGCATCTGTCTTCAAAATCTATATTAAAAACAGCTATAATAAATACTATAAATTCTTACACAACCGCATTTCATGCAGAGTGTGACGGAATTGAATTTTTATTTTATTTGTAAAATTACCATTTCAACCAACTTGGAAATTTGAAACTGACTTCGCATTTATTATTATTATTAATTATAACAGAAGTTAAGTTAAATTCCCCACCTTTAGATCAGCCATTTCATCATCCGTAAACATTGCTTCGAATAACAGGCAGGCATCAGGCACACACCAGGTTAGAAATGCGCCGGTTGGCTGATTGATTGATGCAACCATCCCAAGTCCGAGATATTTCAGATCCTCAGGCTGCATAGTATATAATAACAAATGTAACGTACATACTATAGCTTGACAAAATTTATCACTCACGACGCCAGAAGCCAAGCGCAATGTACCGCGCTGTATAAAAAGTCCATGTTTCCCACAAGTTCCTTGAAGGGTCGATGTAACGAAACAGGATTTTCTTCGCTATAAGGAAGGGTACTGGAATGAGACCGTGAGCCAACCCTGCACCAGCAGTCTCTCTCGAGTGTTGGAAGGATCCTGAATTCCTGATCCTACAGTCACTACTAGCAAATTCTTTGATCTTTACTACTAGCAAATTCTATTAAGGTGATGAACCGTCAGCCAGATTGAATTACAGCTTCCTAACGATGTCGACCCAAAAAAGGCAAGAAAACAAGGGAACTCAGCAGGGATATACCGTATTTTCACTCTATCTGCCATTTGACATCATGAAATAACTAAAAAGAATGAAGTAAGCAGGGATATCTACAAAGTTAATAAAACACTAAAAAAAATTTGACCATAGATTGTCTCTTAATAGATTTAGCTGACTGATCTACAGGGTCCTCAACGACCTGCATATCTACAAATTTGTATGTAGTGCATCTTTAGCATACGAGTAGACATGCCTTAATAACGATGCCAAGTCCCCCCTTCCTCTTGTTTCCACCAATTAATAAGAGAGTAAGGAAATTAAGGCAAAAAGGAGAGATGCAAGGTTTACTAGAAGAAATCATCAAATGACCCCTCCTTTTCGCCTTCAGATCCTGCAAGTGCAACAAGGTAAACAAATGTACGGTCAAACACAACTTATATTCCTCCTCCTGTAAATAATAAAACAACATCTAATAACAATTAACTCCATGCATAAGCCATGCTTTTGTAGGTGGAAAGCGCTTAATCTAAGTGCAGCCTAGAATCACTGCCAGCCTTCATCCCATAATCATTTTTTTTTTTTTTTTTGAGATTTAAATAAGCTGTGCTGATATAGGACGCCACTAAATCCCATTAACAGTACATTCTGAAACCTATATGATAGAGGTTGCATGAGCACCATTGTCACGTTTATCTTTTTTTTTTTTTTTTTGGCATTTCTCTGCATTCTATTTTCATATCAACAGGCTGTGAATATTTATTTACAATGCATAACAAGAATATCAGGAATACAGGACAGAATTTTAATTTATGCATAGTTTTCCTGATTCAGCTAGCAAATTGAACGGAAAATTAAATAGCGAGGACAATGGCATTTACAACAAAACACTGACCTGAACCATCCGCTGCAGTGACACCCTGAACAACTAGTTGAATAGAACTAGGCTGGGTGTTAGACGGATTGGTTGCATTTGAAGCTGGTGCTGAAACTGTGAAATCAGAATCTGTGGATGAAGTATCAGAGTTGCTGGAAGCAGCATCAACTCTCGCAATAGGCCGAAAAGTTGAACTTAATCTCGATGAAGTATTTAATATCAATTTCAGTTCCGCAACTTGGCTTGACATGGAAGATATCATCCTGAGACACACTAGATCAGATCTAGTATTAATCAAATAGTATCCAATTTTAAAGTTATAATAGGGATATTCATGATTCCAGGCGATAGAAAAGGAAAATCACACAGCAGCAGAATGCTTAGTTTCAGTAGTTTTGTAATATTTTACTAATAGCAGCAAACATGAACACTTGAGCATAGTTATATATTTATGTCTCATTGGTGTTATCTTAGAGCTTTAAATATTTATTATTGCCTTAGTGCTAGTATGAAGTCAAATTTATGTAGAATAATCAGCGGTCTATTCCAAATTATTGTAGGACAAGTTATAGCCTATGGGAAGCTATTACAACAAACACAACGCTTCCTTTCAATATCAAGCATTAGCTTAAGTTCTTCCTCTTTTCATGTTTTTTTTGGATGAAATACGTTTCATTTGTATGGTGTCGAGCATTGAGAAATCAGGGAGAGAAAAAGTCAAGGGGAAAAAATGCAGGGGCACTAAAAAAATACTATATCAAAGAATATTAGGAATAGCACCCGACTGAAAAGAACAAGAACAATGATATAGGCCAGAATATAAGTCAAGGGTATAGGAGTTACTAGAGGATAAAGTGCATGGATCATGAACACAATGTACTCTAATAATTAAATTCGAGGATCTCCAAGGTACAAAATAATCAGACTCAAACTATTCCCTCTAGTTGCATCACCCCTTTATATATAATATGCATCAGAAACTAATAGCTAGACTTAGGACCAAGTAGTACATGGTGGTAACTACCCAAAAAACTTAGCAGGTTAAACGCCAACTGACATGAAAGAAAGCTCAGAAATACATGAATACAAGAAGTAACATTGGCAGACAGTTAACAAAATAGCAGTTAATTAGTATCTTCCCCTCCTTCCAGATATCAACTGTCCACATTAGCAACCCCAGCATGCTTGTGCCTTTTGACACAAGTCCTTAAGGGGCTGATATGGAAGGACTACCAAAATAGCTCAAATAAAATATCTGAATTACTGACTTGAGAACCAAATGCTTTGTTGGGTATCTTGGAAGAGTTTTTGAAGTAAGTGGAATGGGAAAAGAATGGGAAGTGAAGTAAGAAAAAGAATGGAAATGGGTTTTACCCGTGTGGCTCTAGGTGTCCATGTTAAAATAACCATTACTTTCTCTTGGTATTAGAAAAATAAATCTGGAAAACTACACAAAATCCTCAAGGGAATAATTCTAATTCTACCTGTTCAATGAGTCTTGAAGTTGATGTACTCTTTTTTCTGTTTCTGCTAGCTTTTTGCTTAACTCTTCCCTAGATTCTTGGGCTTCTACATATTTCCTTTCACAATCATCAGCTCTTTGTTTTTCTGCATGCAACATAACCTGTGGAGCGTACAGATCATATAGAGTTTGGTAAGCTTGAACTGTATAACCATGTGATGAAACATATTATATTACGAATGTAAGAAATATATCACACAGAAGCATCACTTTATCACCATTGATCTATCAAATAAAATGTTGATTAAGATAACTCATTGTATTACAATGGTAGTGATGAGCTTTTTTCACCTCTCAATGAATCTCATGTCAAATATCCTGTATTCTAAAAAAATGTACCACAGATAGCCAAATTTAACAGTTGCAAAAAGGCACACCAATGTTAATTCATAAATTCTCCAACTCATTTCCATCTTTAATTTACCAATGAGTTGGCTGCCTTCCACCTAATCTAACTAGCTATGAACTATAATCTTAACCTCTGCAACAGAGAGAGGCGCGGGTATATACATAACAATTTACTGAGGTTCATCAACTCATTGTCAGTGGAACAATTAAAATGTTTGTGAGGCAGTAAAAAAAATATTAGTTGGTCACAATTAAAGTGATTTAATCAACTCATTGTCATTGGAACAATTGAAATGTTAGTGGGGCAGCACAGGTAAATGGGTAAGAATTTGTAAAGGTTCAAAATGCCCATGAAGAAAGAGAAAAGTAGAACAATGGGAAAGCAAAAACGGGGTGGGGAAAGGAAAGGAAAAATGAGTACTTTAAGTAGAAGCACCTCACTACAACCTTACTATGATGGAAATCTGAGTCTAATTTTCCTCAGATGATAACCAGGTCTCAGTATTAGAAGAATGATAAACCTACAGAAGTATCATTTTTGTTTTATAAGGATAAGCATTAAATACTCAATCAGTTTACCTTTAAATTTATAACTTCTGCAGTAAGAGCCTCAATCTTCTGAGAGTCTTGGAAAGTAATTGAGGAATCTTTGATAGCATGAATGCTTTCAGCATCTTTACAATCATTTAAGGATTCTTTCATACAAGGGCTTTCATTTTCCACTGCTTTCTCCATAACCCGGCCTTCCATTTCAACTCCTTTCTCCTGAACCTGGCATTCCATTTCAACGGCTTTCTCCTCAACCTGGCATTCCATGATAGCAAATAAGTTGTTTCCTTAAATAAGCTCCAAGGGTTAAAAAATGATTATACTGAAAGTGGGCCCTCCAGGTTTTATGTATTCTTTGGTATTAGTGCTTATTACAGCATAAATGATATTCCGCAAATGGTCCTCAGTGTGTAAATTCTTTGAAGGAAGTAGACATCCTAAAAAGTGCTCCGTAATAATTTTGGTTTGTATCCCTCACGATTGCATATTCCTATAAATGACAAATCTTCCCTGCTACCTTTTAATTATCTAGACAAGGATTACCAAATTTACAAAAATAAGGAAAGTCACCCCGGTGGTTGGTTGTTGTGCCCAGTCCATCATGAGCTGGAGAGACACAGCTGCTAAAGGAGACTATTCCATTTTTGCAAAAATAGATTGATAAATAAATGGTCAGAACATACCACTGAGAATTTGAGAACCATGGTTAATAAAGAGCAATAATCCTCTCCCCTTTCTTAGCAATTGAAGGTCATTTTCTCTCAAGTCTCAAGCTTCATATCTTTTTTATCTGGTCTTCAATTTATCAGGGCTTTAAGATTTATGAACTGATTTTGGCTTATTTAAGAGCCCCATTAAAAGGGGAAGAGGAAGATCAAATAAAACATATATAGAAGTTGTTGAACAAGACATCTTAATTAATAATATTCCTAAAAGCTTGATTGATGATAGAGCACAATAACATAGTGCAATTCATGGAGCCGACCCTATTTGATGGGATAAGACTTATTGTTGTTATTGAAATCTGACTTGTTTAAGACTTATAGTTAATTTTCTTGTTAATAACTAGGACAAGTACACACATTATTGAGTATTTCATTTATGCTATTTGTTTATACGCATTTTATACCACATATGTCCAGGAATTCTCAATTTGGTTATGAACCAAACAATACAATACAATGCACAATTCGGAAACGGATCAGACTTACAACAATGTCTTATATTTTTACAATGAGGTTGCCCAATCAGAATATAGCAAGCGTATGATTTTCCAATAACATGATAGGTGTACAGTGTAATTGGAAAACAATATAATTAATATTTTCTATAAAAACCATACATTTGTTATGTTAATGTTGAAGAATCATATCCTTGTCATGCTCTAATTGAAAAACTTGACAGTAAAAATATTAGAAATCGCATCCAAGATTTCTCTTTCAAATATATACCTTATAATTAACAATTTAAATAACAACTTGACAGCAATAACTAATGTATAAAACTAGCTTCTGGTCATCTTTTATAACTCTTCCTGAGCCTCTTATAAGCAGAGAACTCTACATCAGCAACAATGGGACATCAATTTTTTCTTTCTAAAATTTCAGGCAACAGGGAAAGAATATATATTAATAAAAAAAACAAATATAATAATAACATTACTAGGAAATCTCAAACCTGAAGTTTATTTGATGCACTTGTTTCCAGTCTACGTCTCAATTCAACATGAGCGGCCATAGCTCGGAAGCCTGTCTGCAATACAATGGCCGAAGTACATATTTGGTTGTACTTTTTCCTTGCTAGTTTTCCGCGAATATTCCTTTGAATTCTGGCAGCAGCTGCATTTCTCTTCACTTGATAATATGATCTCCGAGCCATTTCTCCTAAATTTACAACAATCCAGTACTTAATTCTAAAAGTAGATCATATATTTGTTATTTGAAGTTCCATTTAAGTCAAAGACAAAAGTGAACACAAGAGGTACACACCAAAAAAATGTAAGGGCCAAACTGTAAAATGTCATCATTTACACATTTCATAGACTGAAATATTACAAGCATGCTAAGGACATCGCAGCAAAGTGATCTTAACATCACATGTTTTCATTTTCCTGTGTCAACTATCTTACAAACTGTTTAAAATTTAATACAGAGCTATAAGGGGAATAAAAACTGGTTCATTTTAGACAAAACATATCAGATTCTACAAGTCTCCTGTCCTTTAAGAAATGCACTCACCTCTACAAAAAGATTGCACACAAACAGAAGACTTCTGCAGTGTGACATATCTTGTCTGAGCCAGATAAGTTTTGATCCGTTTCTGGATAACAATAGCGGAGTTGTTAAGGAGGAATGCCCTTTGAGCATCTAACTCAGCCATCTGACCGGCTCTCAAGAATATCTGTGATTCCCCTATCTGCAAAATAAACATAAATTAGAAATATCTCATTTGAATGTAGAGGACCATTTTGCCATTGTAACAAAAAATATGTGTTCGCTATCCAATGCCGAAATGTCAAAATCAATCCTCATTTACTTCATACCAGAAATGAAATCAATAGAGTGCCCAAAATGAATTTTACATGCAATACAATTCTAATTCTACCTGATAACCTGTAAGGCCAATCTTCTGCAAAATCTTTATACATGAATCTTTCTCATCAGAGCTGCTTTGTTGAGGATTTTTTTAAGTCCGGGAACCAAGTAAAGGTCAGAATCTACCATCACATTAAGACTACTTGGTAATATGTTCATATACCAAAACCTGAGTTAAGGTGCACATACTTTCCTTTGACAATCTCTGGAGCAAGAAGAGCCACTCGAGTTAAAAAATCACGAAAGGTCCTGTGTGTTGGAAATCCAGCACATTTAATTCTTACTGCTTCAAGAACACCCTACATCATCAACAATGAGTGTCAATTGCACAAGCAAAGGTTTAAACCACATTTGTCACTTAACTCCAATCTATGCTTACACCAGAGCGAAGCTGTTGGATGACATTCATATTATCAAAAACAGCAGGTTTTAACTCATTATTTGGCTTCACGCATCTAATATAGTGGGGCTCTGTGCATTTGAGCGTATCCATTAGTTGTTGTAATTGTAGCTGCATAGAATATACAACAGTAATCAATATTCAAGAGTTCTAGGGCCATTTCAGATAACATATTTCCTTTTCTGACAAGGCAAAGAACCAACTATAGGATACCTTAAAGCGAGCACCAATAGAAGCAAATTTAGCAGATTTGGCTGTCTCCTCAGAAAGTGGGGGGAAAAGGCCTGCTACAAAAAAACATTTGGAAGAACTCAGCATGTCTTGATGTTCAGGAACAATGTAGTCTTTGTTTTTGTCTAAAAACTGTTCAGACTGATACTGAACCTGAAAAGAAGTACATGAGCAAGTTTTAACATAATTCCAAGGGCCAAAATAGTAACCTACAAAGCAATTTTGAAGAATAAACTCACCTCCCCTGCATAATGAACAATGGTAAAATCTGATCGAGATAATTTTGGCTTGATGAAGCGATTGTTATTTTTGAAAGTCTGGTAAAGCTTTTGTGAAAATGTTTCGTGAGTTGACTTTGGAAACATGCTACAAAAAAAGACAATTTACCATGTCACTAAAAAATATCAGTCACTGAAAAAATTCTTCTGCCCACAAACAGTTTTGCAAGATATCATCAACAGGTTAGAATATCAGCGAGCCACCATGACTTATCCATTCTTTCTCCATAGAATCAAACGGAAAAAGTCAAAATTGATCCTCGTATTGCCATCAATGTTTCACATTTACATTAATTGCACGTGACTTTAACTGAACTATATAAAACATGCATCAGTTCATACATATAATCCCTGGAACACAGTTAAATGGCTTAATATGGCTCCAGAATTGGCAAGCTTTATGACAGGTGGGAAGTACGAATAGTCAAGGAAAGTGCATTTGATTTCGCAAGACACCCAGTACATCTCTGCTGACTTTATTCATAAAGACATTAAACTAATTTCCCAACTACCCTTTTACCCCTAATTTCTCTAATTACCGTTACTATTCCTACTTCCCACATATTACTTTATGTCAAATAAAGTCATTTCACACAAGCAAATATGAGCAGTTTAACTCTTGTCAGTCATCAATTCTGATCTTTCCCTTTCCCAGAAACAAATTGACAGCGTCAAAGTAGTGTAACAAAAGTACAGGAATTTCATCATACCATGCCTCATCAAGCAGAGCAATAATTCCACCTGGTTTCTGCAAAACAAGACAACTGTCAAGTTACGCCAATTGTAACATTATGAAAAAAGAGACAAATTATAGACTGAAAACGATAAACAGTCCATGGATATTCCTAAAGAAAAGCCAAGCACATGATGTTATCATGTTATGAGGAAGCAGGAGAACAGTGGCATAGGGGAATGTAAGATTAGACAATTTAGAGGGTATGAAATAATAAATTAGCATGGATAGAGAATTTATTGTTGTTTGGAGTTATGAGACTACTTATTTCCTTTATGAAAAAGGGGTTATAGGAAAAATCTAAGTAACTTAAGAGTTCTTGGTTATCAAAATAGAAAATAGATCTTCCTATTGATAAATCCTGTATACTTCAAATATTAGAGCCAGAATTATGAATTATTATTAATGCATTTCTGTTCTACCCATTTTCTTCTATTCACCTCCTTTTACTTTCTGAACTCTCCCTCCATTCTTCTCTCTCCTCAAGTCTCTCATTCTTCCCTCTACTGTTCAAATCAGAAAAGCTATCGTTTAGCAAGTGTAATTATCAAATGGCATAAAAAGTTAAATAAATGGTGTCTTAACCATGGCTGACAAAACATAAACCCCCTTGAGGATTCCATTAATCAAATTATAAGACATATTGGTGAAGGAGTACCAGTATAACAGCAGTGAACGATGAGTGTTCAGCAAATATTCATAAGTCAAAGCTTACACAGTTTTCATTATTTTTAAGGAAAAAAATATTTTTTCGTGGCAAAAGAAAACATAAAAAAAAAAAAACAAGAAGTGAACAATAAAACTGAATGAATATTACAGTAGTGTCCCTTGCAATACAAAGACATCGCAAAGTAACCTACCCCTTCCCTTTGACTTGATAGATGATCAAAATTGTACATATTTTGAATTTTACCTTTACTTTTTTTATTGCACACGTCAAATGCCATATTTAAAGCCAAGTAGCAAGCATATTGCAAAACATGGAATGCTGGTCTATCAAAATATATATATATATATGAAATACTAGATAAGATTTGTCCTAACCAAGGATTGCATTAACTATGTGAGCAATAGTTTCACCACAAAAGTGAACAGCTTTTTTTTTTTTTTTTGGTGCTAAAAGTAATGGGTAAAACTCTCTTAACTAAATAATATGCAAGAGCTGGGGTTCAAACCCCCAATCACTTGTTTAAGTGCCAAGAGCCTCTACCACTCACACCAACTTTAACTGGTGTGATCAGCATTTGTTTGCCTCAGTTTCAATGAGGCAGCAAACAAAAACCAAGCTACAAAGCATTATTTCATAGGTTTTATTAGAAGATGGAAAAACTGAGTCCAAGGTATGTGTAAAAACCTTTTCAATAAGATCCAATACATCTTGATTATCTACAAATTCAAGGTAGCTCCAATCAATCCCTTCCTTTGTATATTCCTCTTGCTCCATCTTAAACACATGCTGCATAATATCATCAACCTCAGATTGCATGTTAAGACAAAGTTACAACTCCAATTGAAAAAAAATAAAAAATCAAGACTAACCTCATACCTGGTTGAAGTGTTGCTGCAGCTTTTCATTTGTGTAATTAATACAAAACTGCTCAAAACTGCAGCCAATGAATCAAATATCAGCATGGAAAAATCTTGGTCACTAAAGTACCAAAATGCAAAGGACAGCCTGCACTTTGAACACTTGCTTCGCAACTAGAAATATCATATAGCATTGAGGGAGCAGACCCCACTCACTCATAATGAAGAGAATCAAGAATTTAAGCTGCCAAAGCATAGTAAAACAGAAAAGCTTACTAAGAACAATGAAAATACGTGCCTGCGCAACATTCATATAAATGTGTGTTTCTTGTATAAGAGCACATAATTGTATATCTATGTGCAAATGCAAAAACATACAATAGCTCTTGCCCACTCCCAAACCCAAAAAAATGTACAATAGCATCTTTAGAGCCAATAATATGATCTATCCTCACCTATTAGTTCGAAAGCTTTCAAAACCATATATGTCAAGAACTCCAATTATACAATTTGAGCTGGGGTCCTGCCCAATGGAGACATTAATTTTTTGGACTAACCTGAACAAAACAAAAACCCGCATGACTACACATAAATTTACTTTTATTTTATTTATTTTTTCAGGGAAACAAGAAAGTCAGATTTGAGCAGCAGTAATCCAACATTGATTTTTTTTCGTTCATATTCACATATGACAAAACCAATTTACCAGTCAAATAACCGAGAATACAATGTCTTGGCTAAACCATCCCTGCTAACTGTCGCAGCAAGAGGATCAAGACTTCTCTTAATGACTTCTTCTGGGGTAATCATCATACGCTTACAAAGTGCATCTTCCAAAGCACTTGGAACACACCTAAAACAACAACAACTAGCCTTATCCCACTAGGTAATAAGTAAAAAAAATTACATTCAACTTCAAACAAGGAAAGATATCACATGATAACAGCAAAGATTTATCCACACTTGAGAAGTTTTGCTGTCATTTCAAGATGGGACTTCGATTCTTCATCTGCTAAAACTGATGAATCTTCTTCTGATTTTTCAAACTTAATGTTTCCAAGATGAAGAATAGCAGCCACAACTCTGAAAATTGCATCCTGCAAGGAAGGACCAGGGAAGTTTATATGGAACATTACTAACATATTTTGTTTGTAGATGAAGCTACAAAATTATCAGAATCGCTATTCAAGGTCATAGCCATGCCTGTTCTTCACTATTGATTCCCACTACATCCATAGCTCTCTTCGTGCTCAAGTACTCCTGGGCAGCATTAACACCATCTAATTCATAGCAACTGGATTGATTAAGGTAGTGAAATGATTTAGGATCTCCCAACTTATATCTCTCCCTTTCCTAGTCAAATCAAACATAAGTTAGAATGTTGTGTAAATTTGTGAAAGGAATGCAGAAACAAGAACAGAAGATCAAGCGCAGTAATCCTACCTCAGGGGGAGCAGCACAGAGAAGGTAAAAACAGTGATAGTTACGCTCAGGATCAGAGATTTGGCAAACACGAGATTTCTCTAGGAGATATGTTCTAATGGCTGTGCCAGATATTTTTCCATGCTTATTGAATTGAATTTCAACAAATTTTCCAAAACGACTGCAGGAAAAATAAAGTGAATGTGCATATCTACTTATAATCGGTAAATCACATATGAGAAACACCTCTTCTTAATAGGAGATAAGCATCAAACAATGAAACAGATCCAAATAGAACTTTCTCATAAAATATATGGTCCTCTTTCACTTGCAGGAAAACAAAATAATAACAATCCATGAAGAAATTGTTTATACACTAAATGTATAAATGGTATCAGAGGGTCAAAAGAATAATAATTTAGTCCGCACAAGTATCCATATATGCAAGTTACCTACAAGAAATTAGAGGATAAACCAAAAATCACTTTCAAAGAAATGAAAGTAGAGTGCTCAAGAAACAGTAGCATGCAAATAAATATCAAATGAGAGGCATCTTATAGCATAACCAGAATATGCTCACCTGGAATTGTTATTTCTGACGGTTTTTGCATTGCCAAATGCTTCAAGAACTGGGTTTGACTGTACCAATACCATTTCAACCAAAATTTAGTGCCCCAAAGCTAAACGATTTAATAAAATTAATCAGGACATCCAAGAAAAGTGGCAAGTAATATCTTTTATGGTCTACATTTGCAAATTCTAGAACCAAGAATTTATCATCAACTAATATTCTCAAAGAAATGGATCCATAATCACAAAATTAGAAGAACAAATGCAAACAGGATTATGTTCTCTATAAGGATACGTTCATGGCATAAAATTTAAAGGGAGAGATTGGGTGGATAGAGTCTTTACATTAACAAACATTTAATCATCCAAGGACGTTTCAGAGAGCAAGCATGGATTTCAGGTTGCCTTCTATAAGTTGCAATTCAGATATTTTTTTTTTCTTAATGCGTAGCTCAATTATGTTTGATTAGGTAAGAGGAAAAACTATTGATATTTTCAATCAAAGTGGCCGCTTGAACATGTCATTGATTTTAGACTGCATACACACAGAGAAAGAGAGAGAAAGGAAAGGGGGAAAGATTATCCAACAAGGGAAAAGTGGAAGTTGAAATGCTTCAATTGTTATGTACTTTCTCAGCCTTTATATGGATATCAACAATCTCATAATCCATTCTTAATTTTGTGCATAATTTGCTTACTTCTTACCAAGGCCTGAGTCCAATATGTCAATAGACAAGACAGATCAGCCCCAAGCCCATGATCATCAGGTAAAGAGATGGATTGGGACTATGATATGCCCAAGAATCTACACAGTTGAATCAAATTTGGTAATTCAGTTACCAGCATATCTTCTTTATCCACTCCATAATGATTCTCTCTGATTAGCCCTTTTAATAAACTGACAAGGACAATTAGGAAGTGACAATGGGTAGCAGGTATTAACTAACCACTAACATCTCATAACTTAATAACTATACTTTCCCATATAACAAATCAACTAAGGAAAAGTTGTTTGTAGTATGTTCGTATATCCCCTCTGCTCTGTAGAAATCACATGAAGACTTTTCTATATTTATAACCTATAGATACCTCCCTTAAAATAAGAACTGATATTACTATCAAGTCCATCCTAGACATGTCTCTTCATAAAAATTAGCATAGTGGGTAGGAAAACTGCCACGAGCAAATATGTCCCTTAACTCATCTACTAATGGCTTCATACAAAAAATAAAGACTAACTACTATTAGTTTCATCTTGGAAGCATCCATGGTCACTTTAACCAATAAAAAGAGATTCAATAAGCTCATTCTAACTATTTCAAGTTATTCCATTTTTTTTTTCCTTTTTCATAAATCCAGTTTAAAGTGAACTTTTTAGCAATATCTAAAAGTAATACTTCGTCAACTTTTCTGATTGGACCTGAATCACAACCTTCACATATGAATGTATTCTTTTCACTCTAGAGTTGAGAAATATAGTCTTTAGTATTGTTCTTTTGTCTAAGACACTGAAAAAATGACAATGGTTTCCGGACATTGTTGCTATATTGTTCTTACTTCGGCTGAGATCGAAGAAACTACATCTCCCTTGAAGCAACAATAAATTTGTAGGAGCAAGAGCTACCATAATGCAGAGTTAGATAACCTTACTTCTAAAACTTGTTGTTCAACACTACTCCCTTCAGCTGCAGCATTTCCACCCAAATAAGCCAGATAACGCATGAGCATTTTGGTGGTTTCTGTCTTACCAGCTCCACTCTCACCACTAACAAGAATAGCATTGCTTTTCTCCTCATTGATCATTGCCCTAATTTAAGCAAACAACAGGCAATAAAAATGGCACTAAAGAAAGAAAGGTTAATGATAATATAAGCAGTGTTAACCCACCTGTATGCAGCTTCAGCAATAGCAAAAACATGAGGGCTTAAATCTCCATGCATTGCTCCCTTGTACCGTTGCATCACATCAGTGTCATATAAGTGCAAAAGACTTTGAAAGGGATTGACAGCAATAAGAATATTTCCAGTGTAGGTCTGCCATTGAGATGTCATATAGAGCCTCATAAAGCTGTACTGATCTGTCATTCTCTTAGGTGAACATTAATTAAATTCACCAAGAAGTGGGGATAATCTTACATATATCTCATTCATCTTGTATCTAGTTGCTAAATTATGAAGCACTGCTGGTTCATGCAAATAAGCAAGCTTGGTCATGTCATCAACTCCATCAGCAGGAGCATCTGCATCCTTGGGATATAATTTTGCCAAACAGGCAACAACCTGATGAAAACGAAAATAAAATAGACAAGCCAATACTTGACTCAGGTTACAAGACAGCATCTGTGAGTGTGTAAAATCACTTTTTTGGCACATAATGAACACCTATTGACAGAAATAAGTATTCAAATTACTTCCCTTGAAGTTCAAAACATTTCTTCTTTTCTTTTCTTTTTCATTTTTTTTATTGTCAATCTTGACTTATAGTTTCTAAAGAGTGAGGATTTTGTGTATGACTTTAAAGTCCTCGGATCCATATTTCTTTGCTCAATCAACATCTGGCTGAGATCATTATATTAAGTATTTTAGGACACTTGTGTTCTCTCTCCCTTCTCTAACAGATACAACAATGAAGAGAGAAATTGAATTTCCTTTCCCCTTTTTTTGGCAGCCTCAAGGACATCCCTACTACCCTTGTAAAGCCATGAAAGACAAATGCTTCCTTCAAATAATAGGATAAAAATGAAAATTGATGCGCGCCCAAGGCACAGCAGGTGAACCCACCTCAAAAGCCATGGCTGGCAAGGTGTAAGCCACCTGCCTTAAATGCACTATTAAGTAGATCATGTCACTTGGTGTGGGACTAACTGACAAAGACGACATCCTGCCAGTTATACTATGCAACACTTCATCAACCTTACTGTCAATCAAAAACCTCCTGCAAGTAACCTTTTTCAAAGCTGTCGATGAACCAGCTTTGACACCATAGATGGGAACCTAAGGAACAGCCAGGAAACCCACACCAGGAACCATGGCTGTTAAGGTGTAACCCACACTATTTGATGTGGAACTTAGCATACTGCCCATACACAGAGCTGGGTCCTCATCAGAATTCATATAAAGAAGTTCAAACCATAAAATCCAAACCACTAGAAATTTAAGAGGAACGTGATAAGCCCTAAACCCCTAATCTTTATTAATTCCTCCATCCTCCTAAAGAAAGGAAGTAGAAATTAATACAAATTATGATCACACCATCCCTCTTTAAAATTTAAGAGATAGCTTGCATTTCAAATTTAAAAACAAGAATATGTTCGTTGAAAATATCAAAGAACATTCACGCCCTTTTGACATTAAGGTTTTCTAGCCTTAGCTATGTGTTTTAAGGACAAGATCCTCCTTGACAATGAAAATTCTATTGACAGCATACATTTTTCTTGAAACTGAACGACGAACATGAAATCCAAAGAAGGAAATTGAAATATCTGAAGCTCTTAACAACCAAGAAATCACAAAGGAACTACAGGAAAATAGAACTAAAGACAACTGAAATAAAGGGCCATCGATATGAAAGCCAATTACCGTATTCCCAAAACTAGTGTGAACCTCAGCTTCCTCCCCATTAATTTTCAGTACTTCTCCATCAATCCAAACTTGTTCTGGATCACCAACCCAAATGGGAGAACCAACAACAATGTTTTCTGAAATACCCTGTAACATTAAAAATCAAAAGCGTTATAAGAGTTGTCAAAATATAATATATGGTGCCTCTTCATTTTAAATGTTTGTTAAAATTAAGTGTTAAAGATAATTTAGCTTATAAATGTAGACACAAAAACATAAAATAAGTAATTATTCTAAATTTCCATCACCTCAACATCCTCTTGCCAGAGATTCCAATGATTACATTCACATCAGTCCCCATTTGTCTAAACTCTAAACCTCAACCCCGCAATTCCTTAGGCATAATACCATGATTTGAATTCACGCCATTACTTTGGAACTCGATGGCTCTTTACATGGCGATTATAAAACATTTCAAGACCTATTTACAGCATTCAGCTGTCGAGACAACTATGTTGACAGGATAATCATATCAACGTCAAACTGAATGCCTAAAACAAATAATCAATACTGGCTTTTAGCACAAATAGACTCTTTATCTTGCAGCAGATTTTGTTTCCCTCTAGCTTTTCACAGCTCTATTATTCTCATTTTTCAGAAGTTCCCTCAGTCAGAATACTAGCACATGAAAGAGAACAGACATGCTGAATGCAGTGTCAGAATCCAATTACATATCTCACCTCAGAATCTATGCCTTGAAATTTAACAGTAGATTTCCTTGGCTGGATTATACTTTTTCTTTTTCTTTTTCTTTTTTTTTTGGAGGGGGGGATAAGAACTAGTCTCTTTTATAAATTAATTTTGTTTTGAAGAATAGAGCGACGGTGTCTTGTAGTATTGACCTTCTATTGTGCCTAGGCATGGTGACAATCACGGGTCTTTGAAAATCATCAAATTTCACTATTTCTGCGTCAATACAGACCGACAAAGTACATATGTATAGACTAGAGAGGAACGTGCATTTCAATGTGTCTGTGACAAACATCTCGATTTTACATGGTTTCCAACAAATGTTTTCACCATTCATAAAAAAGAAACACGTCGCAATTCAAACAGAAAAGGCAAAGGACAAGAAAGCTAACATAGTCGTGCACCACAACTATTCCATTACCATTTTCTTAATATGGAGCTCGGCTGCATAGATATGTTTCTTCAAACGACACTCCAACAATAGCAGGTATGTACATTCTTAATGGACTAAAGTCATTATCCATCGAACCTAAATTCGGAGTAGCGTGCTTCGCAAGTCAGTTCCACACTTAATCCTAAGTCGGAAATCGCGGATATTCTGCTCTTGTATCAAATCCCCCAGAAATCAACGTCAATGTCAATGAAACAAAATGCCCAAATTTCAGTGGGAAGAAATGATCTGATAAGAGCCAAAAAGAAAAACTACGCATTAAACCCTTGAATTTTCTTGGTATTTTTGTTTCTCGTTTGGACTCGCCTTTGCAAGATCCTATAGTTTGGAGAAATGGCATTGTCCAAAGGCCCTCCAAAATCGCCATCTTTGTGGACGTTCTTGTGGCTCAGACCCTCTCACTGCTTGTCCCCGCCTCTCGAAGAGTTCGCGGCGCATGCATCAAATATAAATACACACATGTGTGTGTCCGTTTCGCACCGACTATAAACCAAACTGACTTTGTCCATTCATTTCACTTCATAATTAGATTTATTGCCGCGCAATGCACAGGGATAATTTAATATTTAAAATTTAAAAAGTAAAAATAAAATAAAATTAAAAAATAAATTATTTTAGTCTACTTAAAATTTTTTATTTATTAAAACTAAATATAAATAACAAATTATTTTATTTAAAATTTTATTTTTCATGTCCATATTAAAAATATAAATAATACTTTCTCTGTTTAAAAATATAAGGCATTTTAAATTAAATTTTATTCTAATAAAGCAGTTACCTACCTTTAAATTAATTATATCTTTTTATATTTATCCTTATTAAATACTCTACAGTAAATATAAAATTATTCATCAGTATGAACACTTTAAAAAAAATCAATGATTACAGATTATATATTAAAAGACTAAAAATGTCTTACATTTTGAATATTTAATTTTTTAAAAAATATTTTATATTTTTTAAATAAAAAGAGTAACTTATTTTATCGTAAAAGTGTTATGCCAAGGATGAATATGCCGGTTCTTCAACATACTTGTGCCCTTCTTTTGATTGATATGAGAGAAATTTTGAAATTAAATAAAAAAATTACTACTAAGTTCTGCCCCGCATAATTAGTTGAAAAAAAAATATCCACTGGCAAATATTATAAAAATTATTTAGCAAGTGCTACAGGATCTTTTAAAATCTAAAAATTTTAAAAAATAAAAATTATTAGAATTTTTCTCCAAACAAATCATGCCAGCAGACCATGATGGTAAATTTATCTATATAATTATGTTTAATTTTATTTTAAATGCCACATGATCTTACAAAATTTAGAAATTTTAAAAAATTAAAAAAGTATTGTTCGTGCCATTATAGATTTGCAATCGAACAGACACTTATTACATTATCGTCTTATATATATAAAAGATAAAAGCATCAAATGGTAGAGTTTCACGCACATCATTTTTGCTACGGGTTTCACATGTATCACTAATTTTTCAATATAAACCTCATACTTATTTTTAATATTAGATTAAAAAAAATTACTTTCATCCTAAAATAGATTTACAATGGAATAAACATATTTTACATTATCACATTATACGTATAAAAATATAAGCACCAAAAAGTAGGTTCCCACATCTATTATTTTTATTATGGGTCTCACATATTTATTATTATTTTTTCACTATACATGTAACATCCCAAATTCTTACCTTTTAAGTTAATTAAGTTAATAATATTTTAAAAAATTTTAAGAGTATTTAAATATATTGAGAAGTAATTTTATAATCAATTAAGGCTTGGAAGAAGATAAAAATAAATTGTCTTGGTAATCAAAGATTTTCAAAAGACAAGTGATAGTATTTTTTGGTGATTCTATTTGCATTAAAAAGTAAATGTCTCAAGCTTTCTATAAAATTATAATTCACAATTTTTAAAGATGTGTAAAATTAATTACAAATTTTTGAAGCTGGGCCAATGAATATGTACCACTAGGTGCTGGTCACAAGTAATGGACAAATCCATCGTGGTTGACAACACATTTTGAAAAATTTAAAATGCGAGAATCGACATATAGCAAAATGGAAGAAGAAAAATAAAAAAGAAGCAAAGAGGGAAGCTTAGGGCTTTGCCGGGGCAACAATTATGTATTAGTTTGAAGAGATTTTGAACTCCAACTTACTAAGATAATCATCCCCTCACATTCCTCTTCTTTCCTACACATTTTTTCAAGCTAGTTTTGATAATGGGGTTGATGATTTTTAGATTTTAGGAGGTTGGGTTCGAACCCATTGGACTAAAAAAAATTAATGAGAATTGTTTACGATTTCTACACATAGGTTGAAAGGTTTTATATTTCGATATGCACGGGTCTTCAATTTTGGACGACCCTATACTATAAAATGTTGATTTTGAATTGTTGAGAGTTATAAATGTTGTTGTTTAGCCAAATGGGAATTAAATAACATCAATGGAAGAATACAAAGGTTTGGGTTATGTTGTTTATGATGAGTTAGGGTTCTAATAATGGGTTTAGAATAAACCCTAAAGCTAAACAAGTGAATTGATGATAGCATGAGAGTTTGATAATGCTTATTAAACTAATGAGACTTTAATAAAGCTAATGGAATTGGGAAATAAGTTTAGTTGTAGCTAGTGACCATAATGTGAGTTTAGATTGGGACTTTGATTTGAAAATATCATTGATAAATAGTGATTAATAGTTATCATTATGTTAGTTGTAGACCAACCTTACTGGCAACATTGAGCATGTTGGAGGGTCAATTGAATTGATACGAGGCATTGTTGTTTTGGCAAAACTAAGGGTAAACGTGACCTAAAACCATTTGTTTTCCATGCTTGTGTGGTATGTTTTGTGAGACTTATGAAATTAATAAATTGTATATTTTTGTATGAAAAGAGATGTTTATACCTTTGAAATTTTATGCAAAATAGGTCTTGATTGTAATATGGATTTGTATAGCTATAAAATTTACATGCAGTGTTTTATATAAATGGCTTATGAAACTCAAGTATTTGTTTTGAAACCACTTGTTGATTATTATGCATGATTGTGGTTTTGAACATGATGGCATGTTGGTAATAATGGAGATGGGAGGTGATAGAAATTCATGGGGATTCGCTAATACTTGGACAAAATCAATGTTTGGCACATATAGTGAATCATATCTCAACGGGAAAATTAGTATAAAGTTTAGTATATATCTAAATAGCCATGCATCATCATCTCCTATAAGAGTAACGGTGTGGAGTTTGGCAAAAGTTGTGCATTACCATTCTCGGTGAATAAGAGATGGTGTGGATTCCAATATAAGACACCTTGTTGGTTTGAGGACAAGGAGCCATGGTCCAAGAATAAGTGTGGCAGCGTTTGGCTGAGCTGCCCCTTATGATCAGAGAGCTTGGGATACATCAATCACATGACCTAGCTTTGTTTATATTGACAGCCCACAATCTTTGTCAAGAGTACAAAACAAGAAATATGAGGCAATTGGCATTCATGTGCATATCTATGATTGCATGCTTTAGTATGTTGAGCACAATTGTTTCAAATATGCGCCCTTTACATGTGATTAAACTGGTTATTTAGTTATTGAGGTTTTTATCTCACTCTTATGGATTAACATTTTACAAGAGAATATTCAAATACGAGCAAAGGGAAGACATCTGACGCTAGAAACCATTAATTTTGTAATATCTCTAGTTAGTTTTGTGTAATTGAAGTATAAATGGCAACTAGGATTCATATTTTGATTTTACTTGCATCTTTTATTTAGAAATGGTAATTTTAGTATTTTTAGGCCTTGAATTTTGTTATGCTGACGATGTTTGATTTGAATTAGGCCAGATATAGATGCAAGTTTGTTTTTGTTGGATGTTGATGAATTTGAAAGTAAATTTATAAATTTAAGATTGAGAAACCCCGCCCTCTTGTTTCTATTAAGGTTGGAGGGTCAAAAGGAGATTTAGAGATATTTTTATGTTTGAGGTCCATTGCATGGGTCATTTAAAGTCTATGGTCCAAATGTTGTGGTAGGCGCATTAGGTTATAATTTTGGACATGTAATTGAGTAAGAAAAATAATTAGTTTTTGTTTTGAGTGTCCAAATATGGTGATTTGTTAATATTTGAAAATGAAACTAATGTTGTTGGCTGAGTTATTGAATAAGTTTTATGTAGATGTCTAAATCATCTCAATTAACCGTTAAAATAAAAAGTCATACACACTAAAAGTTTGATTACATGTTTAACTATTTTTACTATTTTGGATTTTTTGGAAATTCATTTTAGATTGTGCCAAAATCGATACTTGGACTATTTTGATCTTGTCTTCTACCCTCGATGGGTCCCATGTTTCCTGAAAACATTTGCTTTGGTTTTTAAATGTTTAAACTACCTATTAACTTAATTTAGATTTTTTTTATTCTGATATCCCAATTTTCCAATGATTTTATATTATTTAGCTTATCTTTCAAGCCTTTTCTATTGTAGTAGCTTTTAAATGATTAGTTTGATTATTTTCTATTACAATAGAGTTAGTAGAATTGGTTTCAAAACTATTCTACCATGGTAGGGATTCTTCAAGGATTACAAATATATAAGTTAAATTTTATTAACTATAATAGATATTTAAACTAGCCTTTTTTCATTTTCTATCATGGATAATATTTTCAATTGCAATTGAGACTTTTTTATCATGGTTAGATAACTAAAATTAATTAACTTTTAATTACCATATAAGAGTTTGGTAATTGTAATCAAGTATGTGGTTATATATGATAATGTTACAAAACATCACACTCATTTTTACATTGTAGATCCCAGGTAATCTCTAAAAATATTTAAAAAGAAAAAAAAAATTGTTATTCATCTCAATGTAGATGTACAATGGGCCAAACACATTTTACATTATTATATTATACATATAAAAAATATAAGTGCCAAATGATATGGCCTCACATCTATTATTTTTATTATGCACTCTCTCCATTTAAAAATATATGATATTTTTTGAGGAATTAGATGTTAAAAAACGTAAAGCATTGAGTCTTTCGAGGTATAATCATTATCTTTTTTTAAAGTGTTCTTATTAACAATGACTTTATATTTATTATAGGGTGTCTAATAGGGATAAATATGAAAAGATAGGATTAGTTTAAAAGTAGGTAACTATTTTATTAGAGGGTAAATTTAATTTAAAATATCTTATATTTTTAAATAGAGAGAATATATCACTTTTATCATTTTTTCACAATAAACTCCACACTCATTTTTACATTATAGCTCCAACATAATCTCTAAAATATATATTAAAAAAATTACTGTTGGTCCTACTATAGATCTACATGGAATGTGATGCAATAATTAATGTCACATTGGCCATTTCAAATCATATGCCATCCTCTCCCATTTATAATTTATAATTTATAATTTATAAGTTTAATTTAAAAAATTATACTTTAAGTTTTTTGTTTTATTTCCTTCCATCTTTGTTTTATATTATACTTTTAAGTTTGAAGTTTGGATACTTGCCATAAAATCCTTCTTAAAAGAAAAATTATTTAAAGAGACCAAGGCCAATTTAAGAATCAAATACGTATTAAATATATCACCTTACCCATCAAGTTTATCATTTTACACACCAAGTTTATAATCTTGCATCTTAAGACTATTTGACACCTCAAACCTATCATTTTACACTAAAGGCGATACTTCAAGTAGGCCGAGCTTACAATATCCTAAATATCTACAAAAGCTCATATAACTAAATTTAATTCTAACCCTTAGGCTTTCAAATTAGCTTGAGTTATTAAATATTATTTTATTTTATTTTTATCTAATTTTAATTTTTATTTAAATAAATTAATATTTAATTTTTATCTAATTCTATTTATAGTAAAAGAGAAATTTGAATATTTAGGCTAAATTTTTTGGGATTCGAGGTTGGCTTAAATTTTCTCATATTTATTTGGATTAACGAATAAGATCAAAGTAAAGAAAATATTTTAAATTTTCAAATTCGGTCTTAAGATTTTTTGAGTTTATTCGGACTAACTTGTTCGACTTGACCTAAATTATTACCTCTAGCTTAACCTTGTACGCTAAGCCTATATCTTTGCACCCTAAGTCTATCGCCTTACACAAGCCTATAACTTTGTACACCAAAATGACTTTGCACAGCAAAGTTAGGTGCTAGCCTTCAAAAATGCCATGTGATTTCTATGATTGCGTTTTAAATAATTTGTTGTCCATACTATTATTTTCATAATAATAAGTTATATTTTTATGAAATTTGCAATTTTATGAGGTGCAATGTTATGGGCTTGGGATGTAAGGTGCAAGGTGTGCAAAATGTAAGGTGATAGATTTAGGATAAAAAATTATAAGCTTGGTATGTAAGGTCATACTATATTTAATCTTTAAATTGATTTTGACTTCTCAAAACAATTTTCCTTTGGTAAGAGATTTTATGACAACTTTCCCTCAAAGTTTTGACCGTATTCAACACATCATTAAAAAAAATCATAATTGCAGTGTCTTTCATCAACGTTTAGTATATCATTTATCCATTTGCAACAAAAAGATATCACTGTCTCCCTTCTAGTTTATAACGTTTCATTATAAAATTATACATATTAATAAAATTTCTTAAACATATTTTATAATTTTATTTTTTAAAATAAAAATATAAATTTTTAAAAATACTTTTAATTTAATACTGTATTTATAAAATATATATAAAAAATTAATATTAAAAAAATTATTAACGAAACATCATATTTTTTAAGATGTTTTGTATTTTAAAATATTAAATTATTTTAAAAAAATATTTTATAAATTGAGATGAAAGGAGTATTTCACATCTCAGTGGCCAGTTAAAATAAGATCATACCATATCACGGCACGTCAAATCGTGTTGCTTTTAATTTTCTGAAGTCTCTCGCTAATATCATGTTTTTATTTCTTATAGCTAGAATGTTTATTGTATGTCTAAATACATAATATTTTATATACCATAAAAAGTACACCATACTATGGGAATATTATGAAAATAGCGGCTCTTTGTTCCCCATTTATATGTAAAAATAACGTTTTAAGTATATAAATTTTTGCGAAGTTAATAACGGGAAGAAAGGAAGACCACGTCACACATAAACTAGTTGATAAAAATAGTGTGACGCAGCGGATTTTGGTCTCGGTGAATCAGCGAATTACTATCATGCGGGGGCTCGAATATTATGCCGATTTTGACATTTTAAATAACCCGAGTTTTAATTTGTGAGGTATTTTTTGTTTAACTTAAATAAATAATTATAATTTAATTAGTAATTTTTGTACCCTGAACCGATGGTGAATGATGAAAGTTTTTATTTTGAAAACCCAATCGATTGTAATTGTTTTTAACTCTTGAATTGAATGTATACTTTTCTGTCGAAAAAATAAATAATCGTACCTTTACCTTGAGTCCACATTCGTAATTTGCCCCGAATAAATTGCCGAGTAACTGCTTTCCAGTTTCCAGTATACTCTGGCGGAGAAAAAGCATGCAACACGAAGTCACAGGCCAATCGCCGGACTCAAAATCGCTGACTTCGCTGGTAGAGTCGGTTGGTTGAGGCAGGAATGATCGAAGCTCCTCCACCACTCCAACAACGAGCATCGCAGCCGCCGCCGCCCCTTCCATCCGCCGTTGATCGAACCCTCACCTTAATTCCAGGTCTCCCTAACGACGTCGCTGCCTTCATCCTCTCCTTCGTCCCATATTCCCATCATGCCCGCCTCAAGCCTACCTGCAAATCATGGAAACTCTTCCTATCCTCCCCCACTCTAACTTCTCTCCGCCATCACCACCGTCATCTCTCCCACCTTCTCTGTATCTTTCCCCAGGACCCTTCCATTGCTTCCCCTTTCCTCTTTGACCCCCATTCTCTTGCTTGGCGCCCTCTCCCCACTATGCCCTGTAATCCCCATGTCTATGGCCTCTGTAACTTCACCTCAATTTCAATAGGGCCCCACCTCTATGTACTCGGAGGGTCCCTTTTCGACACCCGATCGTTTCCCATGGATCGTCCCTCGCCCACTTCGTCGACTTTCCGTTTCAATTTCCATGATTTCTCGTGGGAGCGCCTTGCCTCCATGCTCACGCCCCGCGGCAGTTTCGCCTGCGTGGCACTGCCTGATTCCGGCCAGATTTTGGTGGCTGGCGGTGGGTCGAGGCATACCATGTTTGCCGCTGCCGGAAATCGAACACGCTCTGTGGAAATGTATGACATTAGCAAGGACGAGTGGGTTGCTATGGATGGATTGCCGAGCTTTCGAGCCGGATGTGTTGGTTTTCTTGTTGGGAATGAGTCAGAGGATAGGAGGGAGTTCTGGGTGGTGGGTGGATATGGTGCTTCCAGAACCATTTCTGGGATTTTTCCAGTGGATGAGTACTGCAGGGATGCAGCGGTGATGGAATTGAAGAATGGAAGTGGTCGTGGCCAGTGGAGAGAAGTTGGGAATATCTGGAGAGAAGGGGAGAGGATGAGATTTGGAAAAATTGTTGTGGTCGAGAACGAGAATGGAGGCTGTCCAGGAGTCTTCATGCTAGATAGGGATGAAATATTAAGGTACTTTCTGGCTTCTGAATTCTGACTGTATACAAGTACTCTGGATAATCGTGGTGTTTGTAACATGTGACTCGGGATAATGATGAGGTTCCAAATTATCTTGTTATACAGTTAATTATCGACTTATTATCGGCTGCTCTGAAGTTCAAACCTAACACTGGGTAACTAGGGTAGAAATATATAAGCCATGGTCTGAGGTATCTCTGACGATCCTATCTTCAGAGATAAGTATTTTGAGGATATATCATCTAATGTGGTATTGTTGAACCTTGGTGCTACATGGAGAACATGGAAATAATAGCCGACTAGGGGACACAATTTGGTGCTGTGTATGTTTTGCTAATTACTAGTGGAATTTAAACCTTGACAATGCGTGCCTTTCTTTTGGACCTGTGAACTGTCGTCGTACATGGTCATCTAACAAATTTAAAATGCTTGTAATCTTCCATGGTCGCTGAAGAAGTTTTAAAATGCTTGCAATTATGGAATTGAAAAGAAAAAAGAGAAAACTTCAAAATTAAATTTGAAAACGGGTATAGGTTTTCCGTTTTCTTTTAGTTGAATCTTGTGGGCTGTAAGTGACAGATATACGGCTTGCAAAATGAGACTTGCATGATCATGTGATATTCATGTGAATTCTTAGATTCCTTTTATTTCCTCCCTTGAAATTTGATCATTTCCCTCTCTTGTTCCTGATCAAAGAGTGAAATCTGTGATAAACTCTTTCTGGCTTGTACTCTACACGCTTGCAGCATGGGGTATTATAACAATTTGATTGCCTTTCAAAATGTGTGATGCAACTTTTTTTCAGTGAATTGCTTTTCTTGACCTCCTGATCATGATGCATTGAGTACACAGTAGGGAACCAATGTTCTGGCTTTTCAGGTTTTCTGAGCTACCTTTATTTGGAGTTGTATGACGGATTATATGAACAGGATTTTTAAGATATTTTGACGTTGTTTGATAATTATGCTTGTTATAATCTTGTGTACCAATCATCTAGTAGACCGGAAGTGGTCACTTTATTCTTGTTAGTGCACGACTCAGAAAGCACTTTCTGATACTGTTTGACCATCAAAAGTGATTCTCTTGATAACTGAAATTTACAGCTACCCCAGACAAAGGACCGACAGAGTTTTGTTCACCGATATCATTTATTATAATATTCAATTAAACTTGCATCCTGAATGATTTTACGCTTTTGAACTCGTTTTCTATAATAAAAACCCTTGTACCATATAGCATGAGTTTCTAGGCATCCATCTGCATAGTAGAGCTGATGGCATGTGACCTGAAGCGTTCTTGGTGGCTCTCTTCTCTTTACTTCGTAATTTAAGATCCCAAAATTTCTGAGCTTAGAAATCTTCTGTTGACCATTTTATTGGTGATGTATACCCTTTGCAGATATGATGTGCCTTCAAGTTATTGGCTCTTCGAGTCACGCGTACCGAGAAAAGCTCCTTGCAACTCTTCATTGGGTTTTGTGGTATTAGATGGGGAGCTGTATGTAATGACGAATTTAAATGCTGTGGATGTGGCGGGACCTCGAAGGAACAGGCGACATAAGCGAGGAGGGACACTTTACTTTCAAATCTATCATCCAAAGAAGAAGATGTGGAGATCTCTTGTCACAAAATCGCCTTTTGATTACCCTGTAGACATTAATGCTGCTGTTTTGAGCTCAGTTACTCTGTGATGGTGCCACTGATTTGTACGGTTTAGGAATCACCGCAAAAATTATAGTGGGTTTATATCATTGGACCCGCATGTTTCCCTGTTGATGGCTTATTATTTACTGTATAGACATCTTGAGTCTTGACTAGTATGTTGTTCATTTTGATTTGATGTGTGATTATCAGAATGTGTATATAGACTACAGGCTACATAATGTATCAATTGTCGCTGAAAGGATGCAAATTTGTAATGGTTGAAGTAGGGATTTATTATTGTATAGAAAGAATGTTGCTTGATTTTATTGTTGATGAACTTGCTATGGCCACAGTCATTTGGGCTTGGATTAAAGGTATTTTTATTACTCAATTTTACTCAAGAAGTCACTAAATATCTTAAATTCAATTAGGAGTTAATTGTGTCCTTTAATGTTTAAAATTTGAATCCCTATGCCCTTGAGGTTATTTTCTCATGTATCCTACATTTTAATTTTTTAAAATATTTTTTATTATAAAATATTTAATATTGGGTTTCACCATTTTTTATATTTTAATAATATAAAAATACTAATTTCTCTCCCTCCCTCCCTACCCTCATCCTCATCCAACTACAACTCTTCCCCCAGGCTCATCCTCCTTATGTTTCTTTGCTTCCTCTGTTCTCCCGTCTTTGAAGCAGCACAAGCCCCCGTTGATTCCTTCGTGAAAACTGCACGGGCATTGAAACCTTTGCTCGAAACAACACCTTCCACTTCAACCATAGAACCCTCATTGATTCCTTCGCTTCGGGCGCCACCGACCGCACTCAATTCTTCAATACCAACGCTACCTCCGTTGTTGTCAGAAACCACTCCGACCGTGGCCTCTTCATGTGCTGTGGTGACGGCCCCAGGACATCTGTAAAGAATGCGTTTTTAACGCTATTCAACGACTCGGAGGCTCCTTTGACACATGTCCGTTCTAGGTTCTACCTCCATTCTCGCAGCTTCTCACCGGCACTATGCCGTGTCCATTATCGACGGAGTAGGACAGGCCTTCTTTTACCGAGCAGCCGCGGGGGCTGAGCCCATCTAGTTTCTATTGCCAAACAAGTTTAGATGATGCCACCAAGCCCATCATCCAGATTCTACCCAAGCTTTGGGATCAGTTCCTTCCGTGTTGTCACTTTCTGCAATGAAGGACTGCAAGTCCTCTGCTTCTCCTTCCTCCCAAGCTACCAAGCTCTATTCTACACTTGAAGTTAAAAGGCAATGTACGTAGTTAGACGAGATACTAGACACTGAAATCTTTTACTAACTATATTTCAAAGTACGGATTGATAAGATAGCTACACGATATTTCTTTACAGTATGGAAGTAACATTGGGAGCTTTCATGGAAGATTTAAGCTTGAGTAGAGCATTAAGCTTTGAGCTTTCATTTTTTGTTGTTTGGGGGGGGGGGGGGTGGAGTTGGACAAGGAGAGAGAGGGGAGCGGGGAGAAAGTGGAGAGGAAAGCGAAGGATGATAAGATGACGTGGAATCAAAAAAATTGGCGAAAGATGTGGGACCCATTTTTTAATATTTTATTATAAAAAATATTAAAAAAGCTAGATCTACAAATTGTGGCGCTCACAAATCGATTTTTAACTATCAGGGCATGGGAATTTGAATTTTAAATATTAAAAAATAAAATTGATCTCTAATTAAGTTGAAGATACTCAACAACATTTTGGATAAAGTTAATGAGCAAAAATAATCTTTAAGCCTTTTAATTTCTTCCTCTTATTGTCCCTTAAAGGGATAAAATGATGTGGTCACAGGCAAAGCACAATAATGAATTTTTTTCTTGGCTTTTCATCTCTTCCAGGAAGAGGGTCTGATTCCTTTTTGATATTTTTTTAGAATTAAAGTATATTTTTACCTCTGAATTAATTTTTAAGAAGCACCCAGTGTTTTAAATTATTTATTGTAACAATTTCACTCCTAATTAAAGTAATTAAAATGTAATATATCTGTCTCAAACATTAAATACCTTAACATTAATCATTAAAAATGTTGACTATGATTTAAGTTTGACCGAAGATGGCCACTGTCATGTAAATTTGAGTTAAAGTGTATTTTTATCCCTAAACTATTATTTAAAAAGTATTCAATATTCTAAACTATTTACATTCTAGTAATTTTACCTTTAAAGTAATTAAAATATAGCAAATTCCTTTTCTTCCCTTCTTCTTTTTTTATATTAAAATACTTTTTAATTATGTCTGTTTTTAAAGAGGAATTTATGAACTTATGATTATATTTAAGTAGTTAGGCTTTTCAGAGTATATCTGGAAATTCAGAATTGAGCCAGGCAGGTGGTCTTGGTATTTTATTGCAAAATAATCTCGCATACAAAATACACACACATGTATGTGTTTAAAATATTTTCTGGTAAATGCATAGTGTATCTTTTTTGAAAAAAAATGCTAAATCGTAGTAAATGACTAAATCCAAATTCGTTGATATCGAACAAGGGGAGCAAGCTGCTCCCGCGGAGAGGGATTGAATATTCACTTCTTTACAAACTAGTCAATAGTCAGAAGCCTGAAAAATAAGAACTTGTTCAAGTCTTCTTTCTTATTTTCAAAGATCTTAAAAAATGAACAAGAAACAAAAACGAAATATATACAACAAAATTGTAAAAAGCAAGTTTATTATATATAGAAAAAGGCCGTTCACAATTAAAGCTAAATTCGTATGCACTTTTTTCGTATATTAAATTATGTCAATGAAAATATATTAAGTTATAATTCTCCTAAATAAAATGACATGTTAATTTGTAGTTTAATTGAAAAACTACACCATCATATGCATGCAAAAATTTTATACTTACTATATCATTAACAAATAACTACATATATTGTCACGTTTTAATTGAAGAAGCTCATATTAAGAATGAGAAGTACTAATAACCAGAAGCTATTAATTCCGTATGATCGATTTCGAATTCATAGTGTTGATAACTAATTTTATCTGTGAAAGGGACGATATATATATATATAGTTGGCCAGTTTTGAAAATTCCGACGGTGTCGTCGCTATGCACAGAGAAGACTTGCATTGCATGCTATTCAAAGGGCTACGAGAGTTGCCAATGCACATACACATAACGTGCCATTTAATTTGCTGGGATACAATTCAAATTCGCCAGAGGTATATAACGTGTGTTAAATTTCTTACATTAAGTACATTTAAGAATAATATACTCCACCAAAATAGTTTAAACCATTTGATTAGATATTTTTTAAGCTTATATATTTAAGATTTATCTTCTAATATTTAAATGTTGGATTTCTTTTATGTTTCTAATAATGTGAATTAATCTGGACTGATAATATCATTCTTCACAACTCGGATATCCATGTAAACTTAACTTGAATGAATAAAGTCTCTGCATTATTATTGTTAGAAATTCATATCAGTATACATGTGTACATCTTGATCACTGTTATGATACAGTTTGTGTCAAGAGATATGTAAAGCAACAAACGTTAACAAATGAATATTGTGCACAAAATGGGGGAAAAGAGAGTTGCGTGGATGACGTAATCAGTTCTGCTCCCACGACGAGGCAGGAAAAAAAAAAAAAAAGAAAGAATGTGAGGGCGTGCAGTGCAGGTGGAGGGATGGCATTCAGGCTCAGGTGTGAGTAGGGTCGGGGCTTGCCGGTGTGGTTCCTCTTGGGAGCGAGGGCAGCAGAATCCCATGTTGTGTGGACCAGAACTCATCCGGCAACAATCTCGCAGCTCCGAATTCAGGAGAAGCAACCAATACGATGAAGATAATGACCAGCACTGTCAAGAGCATGTTCCTGTAACACAAGGCCATGTGGGAGGGTACTACTTGCAAGCTTTCTGAAAGATTTGATGAGAGCAGAGCTGATAAGCTTTGAGATGTGGACGATGGAAAGAGGTTAAAAGCTGTGATATTTATAGAGAGAGGAAGGGGCTGGGTTTGCGCGGGATTATAAGTCTTGACCGCTGCCTCCTTTGCTTTTTAAAAACCTCGGAAGCCTTGACTCAGCAAGGCCATTTGAACTCAAAGGTTGAATTTTCAAAACAAACAATTACATGTTGAACGGATCAACTTCACGACCTTGGAGGCTTGGGCCCCAAGCGCATCCGAGTAATGTTATTTGAATAATTATTATATACATATATACATTGAATTTTTATATTTTGGTCAAAAACTGTAGATATTATTATTGATATTATTACTCTATATATATATATATATATATATATCTTCCTTGCGGCCATTCTAACAAATATGTATACGTGGAAAGCACATATATTTCTACAGTTAATTCAACGAAGACTGAGCACCGCTTGAGACTAAAAATATTTTACAACAAAAAAAAACAATTTGAGAAAAGTAAATTTTTCGTATAAGAAATTTAAAACTCCCGAAACGGGAAAAGTGAGGCAACTAAAAAATTACAGGAGCTGAGAACGGGGTTTAAAAATAAGAGATGTACACGTTGGTAAAAGTCAAAAGGTCAAGAGTCCATCACAACTTCACATGCTGTCTATTCAACACCATTTCGTACGTCCGAGCTATTGTAGCATTCAAATCCCATGTTTGCACGGTGGGCCCATTCTTCATTCATGACCCAATCAACATACAAAAGATTTCTGAACTCGATAAAATAAATATAAATCCTGGAATCCTTTGCCATAATTTTTTTCTTAAAAATGCAGGCAGATTGAAAGACATCCTTGACACACTAGCTACATGTAGACCAACTCCTTGGTGTAAAATTAAACTTCAGGCGATGAACTATGCATGGCCTTCTTGTCGCCGGTTTTCCTGCATGTGTGTTGATAAAATCATAAACACACGGCCATAGTTGTCGAGTCCCAAAGTAAAAGGAGTTTATTACAATATAAATTTCCATGCATCACTGATGTCGGGGATATGGAATGATGGAACATATTTGAAGTGCGTGTACTCCTATATATTAGTCTTGAACTCTTGATTATAAGATTACTCGGAAACTGAAAAACGAATCACCAATAAATAAATTGAATTTCATGCGCGTATAATCACTTTTCTAAATATTTTTACATTTAAAACTTTTGACTTTAAATTAAAAACACTAATAATTTGTTTCTTATACCTTTGACTTGATGGTAATTTAATATTTAAACTTTTATTAGATTCAATGCAATTTATATAATTCAATTCGATTGTAACTCAATTCATAAGCTTTAATTCAATGTATCTCAATTTCTATAGTTTTAACTATTTAAACATTAGTATATAAGCTTTTAACAATAAT